TGATTCAGATCTGGCGACGACTGAGATCTCCATGAAGCTGTTCTGGAGAATCTCTCACTTTTCCGACCTGCTCTGCCATTCCCATCGGTCTTCTTCTACCTTGAAGACTCGAACCCCTTTCTGCTTTACCCTCTTCAGGTCCCCTGTACACCCTCCTTCCCATCGAAACCTCACCCGGAGCTCCTCCAAACGGAACCATCATCATCCTCGCATTCCTCTATTCAACCACCGTGGTTCGCCATCTCCGTCCCCTGGGGATGTTTTGATCAGGAGAGTGTCGGAACTGAAAAGAGAATTGTTGCTCTACTGTAACGATTCCGATAAGGTTGCAACTCTTCTGGAGGCATTCTCAATCGAAGGAGACGCTTTTGTTGAGCTCCTGAGGCAATTACGTCCATGGCCCGTTTTGTCTCAAGTGGTAAGCTTTGACTCAACTTCAGCCTCTCTTTTCATTGCAAGAATGGTTTTTTAAGTCTCGGAATTTCTCTTCTGCTTTGAGATTTGATTAGATGCATCTTCTTAAGAGTAATGCGAATGGGTCTTGTGTTGCTTCCGTGCAGGTCTTCGACTGGAGAAGAAACAATGCACTATGCGGTGGGGTGCCTTTGACACCTGATGAATACTCAAAGGGAATCACTCTTTCTGGAAGATTAAAGAATGTGGATATGGCCGTTTTGTTGTTTAACGAGTCTGCAAAGACAACCTCGGCCTACAATGCTTTGATGGGTGCTTACATGTGGAATGGTTTGGCAGATCAATGTAAGAAGCTCTTCTTAGACTTCAAAGCTCAACAACACTCTACTCCATCAGTGGCGACATATAACATCCTCATTTCAGTTTATGGCCGTTTGATTATGGTTGATCGGATGGAAGCAGTGTTCCTCGAACTTAAACAACTCAAAATTCCTCCTGATTCGAGCACATACAACAACTTGATTGCTGGGTATATCTATGCTTGGAATTGGGATAAGATGGTAGCAACATTCGAGACCATGAAGAATGGCCCTCTGAAGCCTACGCTTGGGACTTATTTGCTCATGCTCAGAGGGTATGCAAACTCGGGAAGTCTAGTACGGATGGAGGAGATGTATCAAGCTGTGAAACATCATGTTGACAAGAGGGAGATTAAGTTAATCGAGTCCATGATATGCGCATACTATAGGAGTTCTGACAAGGATAGGATCAAAAAAATTAAGACTTTATCCAGGCTTATTCCCAAGGAAAGTTACAAGCCTTGGTTTTATGTGCTCTTGATACAGGTCTATGGTCAAGAGGATAATCTACATGCGATGGAGAATGTCATAGACCAGGCTATTACAAAAGGAATCTATATAGAGACAGACGGTATATTAAGATCGATCGTGGCAAGTTACTTCAGGTGCGATGCAGTAGATAAGCTAGCTGAATTCGTACAGCGTGCTCACTCTGCTGGGTGGAGGATAAGCAGGTCTATGTTCCATGGGTTAATGATCATGTACGGATCTCAAAAGCGTTTTGAAGAGATGGAAAATGTTTTCTCTGAAATGGAGAGTTTTAACATAAGCCGGTCCAAGAAGACTCTTTGCATACTGCATAGAGTATACACAACGCATGGACAGGAATGTAAAGTCAATCAAGTCGCGGGAATGATGCTAAAGCATGGGCATGGTTTGCCACGGCCTTTTGACATGTGAGGACCACCTGAAGCTAGAATCATCATGAATGATGCAGCAATTTTTCAGAATGGAACTTGCAAGTCTTGTACCTTGCATATCCTGGGCAGGTCGAGTGATAAGAATCAGTGTCAGGTCTCATCAGTGGTCAGTGGAGTAAAAGTTTTGGGAAAGGAGGATACATAAAGATGAATAAGAAGCATTTTGTTTGAAAGATTGTCTGTATATGCTCACATCCAGGGATTTGATTTGAACCCTATAGAAACAATTGATCGCGAGAAGGACGAGGAACAAATATCTGAAATGGCATATAGCATCCATCCTTTTTAATTGTACAGTGTAAGAAGTTTCTCTTTGGCCATTGTTGCTGTTGATTAGTCTATCTATCTATCAAGTTCCTCCATTTGAATCTTTCAATATACAAAGCCATGAGAATCCTTTCTTGCCAAGTTCGCAGAGCATACAAATATAGTTGTTAATGTTTAGTTTCAATTGTTAAACATGTATCACATCACAAAGAAAACATTTTTACATGCTTGTCTTACTAGTGAAGTGTCTCTTACAAAGCAAACAAGGTAATTGGCTTTCTAATGGGTTTTACAAAGTATATGGGTTTCACACATTTGGCCCAACTAAAAAAGCAATTCATTTTGTTTTTTTTTTAAATTTTGTAATACCAAAAAGAGAAAGGGATTTGTTTTGGTCCAGTTATTGCTGGTTAAACCCTAATAATAAAGCAGAGCCTCCTTCCTCTTCCTCTTCCTCTTTCTCTCGGCTCTCTACTACAATGGAGCTTCGTGTTCGACTCAATGATCATCAGATATCGAAGATTTTCCCTGTCAAGCCAAAATCAACTGCTAAAACCTTTTCTCAGTCGGAGACCCCTGACTCCAGATACTGGTCCTCCTTCAAACCCCATTCCTTACCCGACCTCACCTCCCCCGTCTCCGCCTTCGCTTTCTCTCCCATCCATCCTCACTCCTTCGCCGTCGCTCACTCCGCCACCGTCTCCCTCTTCTCCTCCCAGACGCTTTCCTCCTCCCGCCGTTTCTCTTGCCCAGATGTTGTCTCCTCCGTCTGTTTCCGTTCCGACGGCCTTCTTCTCGCCGCTTCCGATCTATCCGGTCTCGTCCACGTCTTTGATATCAAGCAACGAATGTCTCTCCGACGCCTCTCCTCCCACAAAGCACCCGTCCGATTCGTCAAGTATCCGTGTCAGGACAAGCTTCACTTGGTTTCCGGAGGCGACGATGGAGTCGTCAAGTACTGGGATGTCGCCGGGAAAACCGTCATCTCAGATCTAGTAGGGCACAAGGACTATGTCCGGTGCGGTGACTGCTCGCCGGTCGACGATTCAATGTTCGTTTCAGGCTCTTACGATCACACAGTGAAGGTCTGGGACGCCAGAGTGGACAAGTCGAAATGGATTGCTGAGATCAACCACGGAAGCCCGGTGGAGGACGTTGTGTACTTGCCCTCTGGTGGAATGATCGCAACGGCAGGCTTGAACAGCGTCAAGGTTTGGGACTTGATCGGAGGCGGGAAGATGGTTTGTTCCATGGAAAGCCACAACAAGACTGTCACGTCTCTCTGCGTTGGGAGAATGGGAGGAGATGACGCAGCGGAGAATCGGATTGTGAGCGTTTCGTTAGATGGATACATGAAGGTGTTTGATTACGGGAGAGCAAAGGTGACCTACTCGATGAGGTTTCCAGCTGCGCTCACTTCCGTCGGGCTTTCCCCTGACTGTTCCACTCGGGTGATTGGAGGAGCTAACGGCATGGTGTTTGCCGGGAAGAAGAAGGTGAAAGATGCGGGAGAGAAGAAAAGTTTGAGTCTTTGGAGTGTGAGGAGCGAAGTGGATGAGAGCAGGAGGAGGGCACTGAGGCCGTCGCATTTCAGGTATTTCCGGAGAGGGCAGGGAGAGAAGCCATCGGAAGGGGACTACTTGGTGAAGGAGAAGAAAGGAGTGAAGCTGACAAGACACGACAAGCTGCTGAAGAAGTTCAGGCACAAGGAGGCTCTGGTCTCCGTTTTGGAGGAGAAGAAACCGGCGAATGTGGTGGCCGTGATGGAGGAATTGGTGGCGAGGAGGAAGCTGATCAAGTGTGTGTTGAACATGGAGGAAGGAGAGTTGGGATTGCTGTTGAGTTTCTTACAGAGGTACTGCACTGTGCAGAGGTATTCAGGATTGTTGATGGGTTTGACGAAGAAGGTTTTGGAGACGAGAGCTGAGGATATTAAGGGCAAAGAGGAGTTTCTCAGGAACTTGAAGAGAGAGGTCAATCAGGAGATTAAGATTCAACAGTCTCTTTTGGAGATTCAAGGTGTTATTGCTCCTATGTTGAGAATTGCTGGGAGAAGATGAATTACTACTTGCTAAGTTTTGTTTGCTTCTGTTTTTAATGCTTTTAAAGTTTGTTCTTCTAATATGGGAATATCTTTGGGTCTAAACTTAGAATGTTGAACAGCTATTACGGATTTCATATAACAAAGAGCAAGTTTTGTTGGGTTCCCTACACATTGTATCATACTTGAAACACATTAAATATGTCATATAGATAGACGCAGTCTTTTACCCGTAAAGATCATCACTGTTCCTTGGACCGTTCTCTTTTACTTGCTCGTTCGCCCCTTAGCGCTTTCCGTCGTGCAACCGACCTGATCGTCTCAATAAGAGGAGCGTCCTCATCCACTTCATCTCGCTTATCTTCTCTGTCCGAGCCACCGCTGATAGATTCATCCTCATCACTTCCACTTTGCTCATCGAACAGTCTCTTTCGCCCTGTTTCCAGACGTTTTCTTGGTCGCCCCCTGCGTTTTGCAGCTGTTCCTTCCCTGTCATCTGTGAGAAATCAAAAACAGACGCCTCATCATAACATTCAATTTGGCATTCGATTTGACCGAGGATTAAGTTTGCAAACATAAGTAGATCATACTCATCAACCGGCTTTTGATTAAGCAACCAGATGTTGTGCAAGTGCACATACCTACCTTGTAAATCCTCGTTTTTCACGCATTTCTCCTCCAAGGTTTCCAAGAAGGTGAAGCAAGGACGCCATCCGCTGGGATCTTCGTCTGTGTTAACATGCACGATACGCCCCTGAACGTCCTTCTTACTGCTCATCAAGCAAACATGAGCACACATTGAGGTTATTTTATTAGCAGAAAGCTTTCCTACTTGCTCAGAGAATTGTCACTCTTACATGTCAGTGATGTCAGTTACTGGGAGTCTGGTTGCAAATGGAAGGATAGCAACCTCCAGAAATAACAGTTGCTTTGGGGCGTCCGTAAAAGCAAACTCAACACCTTCTTTGACCACTCTCAAAATCTCCAATCTGTATTTGTTGCGAGCAGCACCGATATACATTCCCGAAAGCTGACCAGCAAGCTCCCGGCACACTTGACGACATTTATCTACTCTGGATTCTTCACCGTCACAAGAGAGTTCATTTGCATACCGTTGATAAACCTGCTCACTTACACCGTCTCAGCAATTTTTTTGGACTACTAAACTTTTTATCTACTGAAAGTAACAGTTGACCTATCATCTTTGCAAAAAGCTTACCCTTTTCAAGGATTCCAGATAGATATTAGAGATGTCATCTTCTTTTTTCCTTAAGCATGTTATAAGATTCTTTATGATGTCTGTAATACTAGGTCCATGCATAACAAGATGAGATATTATCTCCGGTCCTAGATACTCCTGCGACAGAAAACGAAAAAGTTTTAGAAATGTGAACATCAGTCACACCATTACTGATGATGATTTAGAACTAAGATATTCACAGCAGCAATGTTAATGCATGCCCTTGACGAGAGTACCTTTGGCACTACATCACTAATAAGCAACTTGCAGGCAGCAATGGCTGCAACATCTCTGTTTGTCTCTTCGACATACTCCTTATTTTCATCTTCCTCATCGGTCTCATCTGTATCAAAAAAAATACGTAATCTGAAAAATCAAGAAATGACAGGGATTTGTAGAAAAGCAAAAAATGTCACCTGAGATGTTAAAGGTTTCTTCACAGAGTTTCCAAAATTTCTGGATCAATACTCTGTCGGGACAATATCCTAATATTTCAAGTTTACTTGAGTCAAAATTTGACTTTCTAAACAAACACCACTCTTCAGCGAGTAGAGCACAAATCTGCAGCATTGAAGTTTCATTCATTAGGCGAAAATACATATACTCATTGCTTGATAACACAAGCACATGTAATGAAGGAAATGTGTGTAAAACTGGAATTTCGAAGAGTCTTACCCTTAGAGCTAGTTGAGTACCATATTTCCTTGATTCCTCAATTCCAGGCAGGAGGTACGAAAGCTCCTCAAACAGGGTATTGCGTTTTGATATAAGGGAAGATAAGGAAGCTTCGGAGACAGCTTCACAATTTATGATGGAGTGCAGAGACCACGCCACATACAAATGCATATTCAGAAGCATGAAACAGATAACCTAAGTAAACATGAGCAACTGTTATATTAAGATGCAAGAAAAACAAAACAGACAGTAAGAGCTCTGAACACAAAATCCTTGAGCACCTCTTCATCCAAATTTCTGAAACTACGGAGCGTCAAAGCAATCTCATCATACATGCTCTCAACAAGCACAGGCTTTGACAATTGAAGCTCATACAACCTTTTGAGATTTACAAGGAGGGAGTATTCATCATTTCCACTCTGCACAGAAAACGGATGTAAGATTGCATCTATAAAGAAGAGTATGCAAATAAATGGCAAAGGAAGTAAAGCATACCTTCACTTCTTTAATTGCAGAAGTAAGCTTATCTAAAAGCTCATCTTCAAGATCTTTAAGCTTCCCACGGGAAAAATCTTGAAGCTCCCCTTTACTTTCTGACGCACAAAATGTTATGGCCTTCACGCAAGATCTTAGTGCTTCCTTCTCCCCGTGTTTGAAAAACGCATCCTTAATGAGTCGGACAGCAGCCTTAAAACTCTGAAATAGAGGAGAAAATGTAACTTTCACTAGAGAGGAGAATAACAGGAAAAAGGCATCCTTTATGAAATAATATGCTTTTAGCTACCTGCTCTTGTCTTTTAAGAGAATAGAGCTCAAGTTTCATAAACATAATAATCTCAACCAAAGATGACACTTTCGTTTTGTCAGCCATGAATTTATGTAGAAGCTGTGGATAATTCTTCATCATGGCAACCGTTATGTCTTTTCTGTAGCTTTCAAACGCTTCCTGTTATTCACAGCATTGAAACATCAACGTCATTATCTTTATAACTGAAAAGAAACGAGTGTATAAAGAAGTACAAATGGAGCACGATGCCTAATAAGACCCTTTAAATGTATTATGTCCCTCCTAGTTTTGTTCAAGAAAAAACAAATACAAAATTAATATACGGTGTCATGCTTCTGCAACGTGATATCATGGGAACAATAAGAAAAAAATTTCAGAAGAGCAAAGACGGAAACTTACTCGCTGAGCTTTACTATGATACTGCTTTCGATTATCCGTTGATGGGATTATCTTCTCCCCAACAGCCTTCCTGACTGACGCAAACAAAAGTCTGATCAAGTTTGTCGAGTCCTCGTCATTAGTGGACCCAGTGCGAGGATTCTGATCCAAAAGCATAGAGATGATACACTTCCAGTCCTGCAAGAAAAGCAGCATCATGACAATGATATAAGAACTGTAGTAGGTACACATCACAAGTATATAACGAACGCGCAACAGTGAAAAGTATTTTCTGCTAGACCTACCTTCATGGCCTTCATGTACTCCCAAACATCATCAATTACATAAACGCTTAGAATCGGATCTGTGGAGAACTCCCGTAATATTTGCAACATTCTGAAGATATGGATCTCAGAGGAAGAATCATCTTGACCTGAAAAAAAGGATATTTAACTCTGAGCCAAGTTCTCAGAGTATAAATTTATAGTGACCAGGAGTTGGACTATCTCAAGGGAAAACCTGTAAGACCGGATGGAGCACTGTTAAACTTCTGTGCGATCAAGTGGTCATACACTAACTCTCCTATCGCACGTCTGATTTCTTGAGGCTGATCAATAAGCAAGTCGTACAAAGGGCCTAGGTCATCATCAGGTATCAGCTGATGTCTGCCGGACAAAAAAAAGCTCAAGTTTTAACTCAGGGTATTCCAACATATTTGTGGTCAAGCTTTGTTTGGGAAATATATCTTGGGGGAGAGTACCTTAGCAGTTGCTTTACAAGCCCTATAGCACATACAGCTGCAGACATATCAACATCATCAGCCATCTCGATCATTCGATTGGAAAATCTCTCGGTGAATAGAGTAAGGGTGGGGACGTTTTCATCCATCTCATAAAGTTTTCGCAATGCCAAGAGAGAAGCTTTCCTCACTCCAGCAGCCTCCGGATAATTGAATACACAGAGAAGATCAGCGACTATTACGAAAATATATATAATAATAATCTTGAAGAGAACAAAAAAAGAACTTACTTTGTCATTGAGTGTCCATCCAAGATATTTTAAGTACAGATCTTGTAAGAAAAGAGAAGGATACGACAAAATCCAAATGCCCAGAGACTGAATGCATGACGTCCGAATATCGGGATCAATATCTCGATATCGGTGAACAAACAACCTTCAAAATAAGATGATGATTTCAGTCAGCAACACTCGCGTAAAAAAACCATCAGTTTCTTTTCTTCTGTTTTTGTGCAGGTGTAATACTTAGGTGATGGTATAATCGTTATCCAATCTTACCCAGTGAAAATTTTCCGCATCATATCCTCCAATGTAGTTATTTGTTCATGAGTAACAGACAACCTTTTGTTGAGGGATTCCACAATAGGCCCATCAGCTCTTTTCTTGCTTTCGGCATTCAATTGTCTTTGGGTGGTTTCTCTTTGTGAACCGAGCGTGTTTGCTACAGAAATAAAAGATGTGACTAGTTGGAGGCCCATCAGCGTGGCAGTTTGGCGGTAAACTCTTGGTGGAGTACTGCAGTAGAAATCGAAAAACGACAAACATGAATAGAGTTCTAAGTGGCATATATATAATCACATAGAATTGTGATGTTTGAACACAAACCATGACAACGCAATTATGTAGTCCATGCACTTGTCAAACAAGACTTTATCAAACAGTGGTCCATTCTTGCACTCGATAACCAAATTATTCCAGAATGAAACAAGATTTTCTTTGAAGTTCTTGAGTTCCTTCTTTTTCGAACTCTGATAATCTTCAATCTCCCCCTACATGCCAAGCGCAATCAAAAGTATGTTTAGAAACTTGTTATGAAACAAAGTGTAAGAAAATAATCAAAAGAGAGAAGTCCTTTACAGCTCTAGCAAGATTAACAAGGGCAACGACAACATCATCCACATCAGTCTCATCAAGCAGCTCTTCCTTGATGGAGTATTTAGCACCGCAAGCCTACACAAATTAGATAAGCTACTTAAAACAAGGTACTCAGTTGATGATATGGGAAAACTTGTTGAACCGTTTTGATCCAAAAAGCAAGAAAAGACACCAGGATCTAACATCCCAATCCATCTTTCGGACTTGGTAGTAAAATTGCAAAGGAAAATACATAAGATACAACTGGAGTACCTCAAACAGCATTGACAAGAGCTCAGCGGTTGCAAGACTGGGAGAGTCTTCATATCTTTCAACCCAAATCTTCACAGCTTTAGGAATAAGATCTCCATTCCCTTTGACAACCTCTGTTGAAAAATGAGGAAAAATTAATTTGTTGAAAAAGGAACAAAGGTTGTTGCTCCAGTCTTGTGTACACCAGAAAACAACCAAATGAAATGAAAAGGAGGAATGGAAACAAAATCAGAAAGCACGATCTAGCCGAACAAGATGAAGCTCAGGGAGGCACTGGAATTCTC